GTACTGCTCTCATATCTGGGGTGGCTCTTCTTCTGTCCAACTATTAGATAGGGTGGACCAAAGGCATTTTGTCTTATTAACTTTCCTCCTTTAGTCGATAATCTCTCTCCCGTTTCTCTTCGCCGCAATGTTGCTTCACTCTCTCTCTTTTACAGGTACTTTAACGGGCAATGTTCAGTGGATTTGGCATCCTGTGTACCGCCGGCAAGGCCGTTGGTTCGTAACACACGTCTTGCGCGCGGTGCCCACCATTTCTCTGTGGATGTCGGTCAAACGAGAATAACCCGTTATAGTACCTCCTTCTTTCCTCACACAGCCAAACTGTGGAATGCTCTGCCTTCTGTGTTTCCATGCTCTTACAATCTGTCTCACTTTAAAAAGCTGGTTCTTCGGCATCTTCGTGGTGTAGATTAATACAGTATAACCTTTTTTCCTATATTTTCAATTTCTTTCCGTTCTTTTTTTTTTTGCCCCCCAGGCTCCGTTGTGGGTCGTTTGACCTGTGCCCGGTGGCTAATTCTCGCTAAAAAAAAAACAAGCTCCTCCCAGTTGCAGCACATGTATATTTTACCTAAACTGTGCCTGAATGAATATATTCTCAGAAATAAATAGTAGTTTTGCTGAAACGTGATGTATTTCAATGTAAAATAGGATAAAATACATGACGAAAACAAAAGACTTTACCTAACCTTCCAATGTTCAAGAGATGTTACTCGTTTTTTTAATAGTTTTCGGTTAAAATACTGTTATATTACAATGATATTATATTCATACTGTGCTTGATATACTACATTCACGGAAATGTAATATTTTTGCTGAAATGACGTACGTATTAGTGGAAAGTGGGATAAAATCGTGACGAAAACAATGACTTTCGCTTTCTTTCGTTCAAAAGATGTTACCGTAATCGCTTTTCGAATGGTTTTCAGTTAAAAAAACTGTTGCATCACAAGTGAATTAGGATAGAATATTATTGTAATACAACAGTTTTTTAACTGAAAACCATTCGAAAAGCAATTACGGTAACATCTTTTGAATGAAAGAAAGCGAGTCATTGCTTTCGTCACTTTCCACTGTAATACGTACGTCATTTCAGCAAAATATTACATTTCCATATTCTCAGAAATAAATAGTAGTTTTGCTGAAACGTAATGCATTTCAATGTAAATTAGGATAAACTACATGAAAACAAAAGACTTTACCTAACCTTCCGATGTTCAAGAGATGTTACTCGTTTTTTTAGTAGTTTTCGGTTAAAATACTCTTATATTAGTGATATTCTATTCATACTGTGCTTGATATAATACATTCACGGAAATGTAATATTTTTGCAACTACAATGCTGATGTCAACACAAGCGTGGTTACAGCGAGACTGACTGAGTGAGGGAGAGCTATGCGTGTGTGTGTGAGGTTGCGGGAGCGGGCGGTGTCCCGTGTTCGGTGCCGCTTGCGAGTTGAATGGCGCTCGATTTGAATGTACTTCAATTACTTCAATGTAAAGAATATTCCTCCGGCGGGGCAATCCGCGTATTTGCAAATCCATGTATTATAAACCCGCGTATGTTAAGGGCCGACTGTACATACAGTCATGCGCCGGTTAATGTCCTAGACACGTTCTTGGAAACGTGACATTAACCGAAATGGATGTTGTCCGATCATCACATAAACTTTGTATTTATACTTACGTGTATGTGGAATACTATATACGTATAACACTCACTACTGTAATGTGATACAGGTGATTAATTTTTATCTCTTGTGCAAAATACATGACGTTTATATTAAAATTATTCACTGTTTTACAAGGATTCCAGCAACGCCGGGCAGATGGGGGAGAGAGAGGGGAGCGAGCGAGGGGGCGTGGGGGGAGGGGAGGTAGTACGTTTGACAGTTGGCACGGCTTTAAGGTCTCGCTTGTGATGATGATGATGTACAAATTGAAAAAAAATTTAGTGAGAAACAATATACAGTATATATGTTGAGTTGTCAATAGTAAGAGAAACAATTGAGATCCTGAAATTGTGTGTAAATGAGGCAAAAAGTCAGATCAGCAACCTGGGACTTGGTCACAATTTTCGTGATGCCATATAGCAGCAGGGTCTACCATAGACAACACATTATGCTTCCAATATCTTCCCAGGCGGTAGTACCTCCCTGTTTTGATGGATTTTAATGAAAATATTCAGAAAGACCCTGGCACTGTCAAGGAAAGTGGCTGCTGAAGGCTTCCAGGACATGGCAGATGACGAGATTAGGGAGCTAATTGAAGAGCACGACACTGAGCTGACCGAGGAGGATCTACAGGAGTTAGTAGACTCAGGCAAGGAAGAGGAAGAGGAAGCGAAAGGGAAAGAGGATGAGGAAGAGCACCAAGAAATAACGTTGGAGAAGTTGGGGGAGATGACCAGGAATATTGAGGCACTGAAAAACCTGGCCTATAGTATGGACCCCTCCATGGTGCGTGCCCTGAAATTCATGCGAGGGATGGATGACGTTTTCGCTCCATACAAAAACATCATGGAAGAAATGAATGAAAGAGACTACAACTCCCCATCACCATGTTCTTTGATCACCGAAGGAGAGATTTAACATCATCAATCACTGGTGACAGAAAGGAAGCAGCTGAATCCACCGTCGCCCCCACTTCACCACCTGTTATGGAATTGAGTGACGATGAGCCTGATGACCCCCGTCCTGTCGCCGAGGATAGGAACTGTACAGTAAAGTGAAATTTTTATCTCTTTTTTTTTTTAATACCGTTTCTTGCCATGTTTATTGTTTGTAAAAATGCACAGCACAGTACAGTTCAGTACTGTACATAGGAAGTGGAGGTGCAGTTATTCACAAAACATTTGTGTTTGTTGTCGGCAGTAGTGACGGTGAGGAGGTGGAGGAGGCAGAGGAGGGAGCGGAGGGAGCGAGTTGGGAGAAGTGGTGACCTTGGACGCGGGAGCAGGGCCGAGTGGAGATGCCAGCCAGTACATTACGAGTGTATTAATTGTTTTATAGCTATTTTTGCATTTTAATATTAAATGCTGTACATTACGTTTCAACAAAACTACCATTTAATTCTGAGAACATGGAAATGTAATATTTTTGCTGAAATGATGTACGTATTACAGTGGAAAGTGGGATAAAATTGTGACGAAAGCAATGACTTTCTCTTTCTTTCGTTCAAAAGATGTTACCGTAATTGTTTTTCGAATGGTTTTCAGTTGTGGGATTATAAGGCTAATGATAGGATAGAATATTATTGTAATACAGTATGAGTACAACAGTTTTTTAACTGAAAACCATTCGAAAAGCGATTACGGTAACATCTTTTGAATAACGAAAGAAAGCGAAGGTCATTGTTTTCGTCATGATTTTATCTCACTTTCCACTGTAATATGTTCGTCATTCCAGCAAAAATATTACATTTCCATATTTATTTCTGAGAATACGTATATTCATTCAGTCACAGTTAAGGTAAAATATACTTGTGATGTAATATTTTAATGAAAATACGGTATCGTAGTTTTCTTTTGTTTCAAATTTAATTAACAAAGATTGATGTTTCAAATGTAATGAACAAAAATTTATGTCCAGTATCTATAAATAAACTTTAATAAATGAATACTTTATGTTTTACATCGCCCTGTGCTACCATACCATGGATTTGGCTACTTTGGGCTTGCTATGATGACGCAAGAGATCTGCCCTGGCAACTGTACCGACACTCACAGCTGGTGGTGTGTTGGTGCATCGTTTCCATTGTTTACTGGTAGTTACTGGTAAATATTTTTCAACCTAACGAAACTATTACCCTTTTAGAGGTCGACCCCCAATTTTTTGCCAAATATTTTGGTCCTAAAAACTCGAACTACACACAGGTATATACGGTAAATAAGGACATTGGGGCCAGGGTTTTTCGGAGGTGGGAGGGCAGCACATATCGCGGATTTTAACATCCACGGCTATCTCCGTTCGTAACCCCTCATTATTAAGGGCCGACTGTGTGTGTGTGTGTGTGTGTGTGTGTGTATATATATATATATATATATATATATATATATATATATATATATATATATATATATATATATATATATATATATATATATATATATATATATATATATATATATATATATATATATATATATATATATATATATATATATTGGTTAGGTTCCTGAGGTCTGTTCGTAAGTCCAGCATTACTCTTGTCAATACTGAATACTGTATACATCATTGTAAAAAAAAAGGTTCATTGTGAAAAAAAGGTTGTAAAGACAGCTATTCCCCAATAATACTCGACAGTATTTCTTTCCAGCCTTAAATGGTATTTTAATGTATGAATAGTATGTATAGTAAAAATAAATGAACACTCGCACCATGTTTAGCCTTTACGTTTTCAAAGAGACTTATGGCCTTCCGCTGAAATAAGTTACGGCTTATAGGCATGCGGTGCTGATGCTGGTCTTCCAGTCAAACACTCAAAAGTTTTTCCATCTCTGCGATCACTGAGCCTCTTTTCTTACTAACGATCGTGAAATGCACAGAACCTTTCACATGTTACATAATGCACTTTTTGTCCTTCAAAATTGTCCCAACAGTCGAACGTTTCATCCCAAGAGCATTTGCTACGCTTATCATTTTCTCACCCCTTTTACAGTGCTTTAAAATGTTCACCTTAGTTTTCAACGAAATAGTGCGACGCTTCTTTCTACCACCATCACCACTGGCATCACTCTTACTCTTCTGAAACATGTTGGGGTCAATAATATTTGTCAAACCCACAAATAACACCGTAAGGCAGCAGAGGAATACAACAACAACAGTGGCGCTGGGGATACAGGGTGACGCTGAACAGGCAACGCCATCTATTGCGCGATGGTTGAACTTACGACCCGGCGCGGTTTTTAAACAGGCAATTGGACATATGGACAGATTTGTTTGTATCTTTGAAAGTTCGTAACTTTCATTGAATGCTGTTAATATGTTAATATCCAACAGTGACAGACACACATGGTGACCATGGATACCCTGTTGATGTGCCTAGCATGGAGCCAATATTTGTAGCTGTGGGACCATCATTCAAGCAAGGATTTGAGGCTCTGGAGTTCAGCAACATAGATGTGTACCTCCTGTTGTGTCATATGTTGTATCTCCCTCCTGGACCTCATAATGGGACTTTTGACCACATCAACTCTATTTTAATGGAGCCAGTGTCATCAATGCTCATTCTTCCTGTGACAATTAGTTTAGGTAAGGCTTAATAAATTCTACATATTTAAACTTACTAACCAACTAACAATCTCTCTTGTGTGTGTGTAGCATTTTTACTGAAAATGATAAGTAGTTTACAATCATCCTTGTTAAAAATATTCAGGTTGTAGAATTTTACCCATACAGAATTTGTAAATTATAACTACAGTACTGAATTAGGGATAAAACAAAGATATTTGACCCTATGGAAATCATATAGCTATGATAGGATTTGTCTTAATACACATTTGATTCTGGATTTGCTGGAGCATTGCATCCCAGTATCACCCTGTCTGATGACTTGGCTTGTTTTGAGTACAGTATGCTCAATAGGTTTTCAAACTTATTTTATTCCAAATTGTGCAGTGTCATCGACATCCACCCTACATTGGGTGCCTTGGGATATCAAGGACTGACGTGCTGCCGGAAGCCTGCTTTGGCCTGTCTCCACATTGGCCACATACGGCAGACTCATGGTTTTTTAATGGAGAGGGCACCCCCTCCCCATTGTGATACCTGCTTGGTCCCTTTGACTGTTCGACATCTCCTGATGGAGTGCCCCAGTCTCAGAGATCTTCGTTGTAAGCACCTATCCCGGTGCCGGGGGAGAGACAGGTCTTGCCGTCTCTCTTTGTTGCCTTGGGGGTGGGGTGGGGGGTTAGCATGGGAGGGGACATTCTCTCCTTGTTGGAGGAAGCCAGACTTCTACACAAGCTTTGAGTTTTGTCTATTAATGTTAAAATGGTTTTTACAAAAATTCTTCGTTATTTATCACTTATGTTTTTTATCTTGCACTATTTGATTTTAGTCATTTAAGCCTTTATTTTAATTCAGCGACATAGAACCTAAGCTATTGCGTCGCCAGGGATATAATTACCACAGTCAATCAATCAATCAATCAATCCTTGATCAAGATGTCTGGAAACAATTCATTAAGTGCAAGTGGTAGTAGAATTATTCCCAAAAGAGCTCAAACAGCCTTTACCTTGGATGTAAAACTGGAATTGTTATACTAGTGATTTGTTGCTTGGGTAAAACTTTACCAAATTACAAAAACATGTGGTTTGCTATGTCTACAGTGGGTACAGTATGTGATAATAGAGCAAAAATTATGAGAAGTGCTCGAGCAACATTCTGCTTCCTGCTAATACTTCTCATCTTAAATTAAATACAAGTCATTGCTTGATTGGGGAAGGGAGAACAGGTGTTTTTTCTTAGGGGTGACTCAAGAAAAAATTCATACATATTTTATGGACTATTGAGTGTACACTAATATGATTCATCATATCATGTGGATAATATGTAGTAATGGGATCAGTACAATATTGGATAGCACCCTTCTCATATCCAACTGGTGAGTGAATCCATGATGCTGGTGTTGTTTGTGTATAAGTAATCTCCCTGTTAGCCAGAATCCCCGATCCCCAGAACTCTCCAATAGCCGGAACTGAAATCGGCTTGGAAATTTTCCAGGAAAACTCTCTCCATTCCAGGTGTGTCAACAAATTTCCAAGGGTGAAAATCAAATACATTTTCTGGAAAAATTCTGAGAAGGTTCCAAGTAAATCTCTTCAAACCTCTCCATTCTGTGGCTTGAATTTTTTTCCTGGAGTTCTGAATGATTGCATCATGCTCCAATGGACCCCCACGTGCCATGCACATGGGTGATATAGCTGCTTGGATAGCTTCGTTCATATTCTGCTGCTATTGTAGTAGGTTGTTCCCTTGCTAGCTGCTGTTTTCGTGTATAATTTGTGTTGTACATTACTGTACCAAGACACAGTCAGCCAAGAATACAGTGTTAAAACAGTGATTACAGTTATGTAAACTGTACTGTACATTCATTAAGTGTGAAACACTGGAGCACCTTAGCTTTTGTCTCTATTCAGGACATCATTCTTCTGGTTATGAGACCCTCTAATTCCCCACTCCGATAATGGGTGTTTTTACAATGCCTCTGAAGGTCAGTAATATGAGACCACTAAACCCCCAACCCACTTCCACCGCAAATGAGAGAAGAGTTTATATACAGTACAATGGGTGACTTGTCATTGCATCAGGTCAGGTTAATAACATAAGACCCACTATTCCCCTACTCCTCCTTCATTGCAAGTGGTAAGACATAAAAATTTATTACAGTTACATATTTCATTCAGCAGAGTGGACAGTATTAGTATACATTAATCTGTTTATTTACAATATATTATACGTGCACAGAGTTGTTTGCATAAATAAATATGGCTCTTGTGTCTGTCCATGCGTGGTGCATTGTTTAGACTAGGGGAAAACTTTCCCCAATGCAGGATGGAAAATTCCACTCTCTTGGCTGTGACACAGCTCCAGTCACAACTCCCATGCCCGTATATAGATTGTTTAATAATTTTTTTAAGAGATTTATTTAACCAGACTTTTAGTTAAACTAGTCAGGATTTATTTAGGTAAAAAATGGTGTTTCTAATTTCATTAGAACTGATTTTATGGACTCTGGTATCATCATTTACGTTTTTTCATAAAACAATCGAGGCCCCCATCATTATAGCATACTGAAGTATTTGTTTAAGGAGCTTTTATTTGAACAGTCTGGTGAAGAATTTATCCAGGATCATTATTGTATCAAATTCATCACTCTAATACTATGTATTAGAACAGATGCTGTGAATAAAAGATTCTACGCTTTTTTGCTACCAGTAGATAATTTCGCTGGTGCCCACGGTCTAATTGTAATGGGATAGTGTTTGTCCCTGGGAGATGAGATGAGATGAGGTACATAGTTTAGAGTTGAGAAGAGTTGTGTACGGTAGTTTAGATTCTTGGAAAACTTTCCCCAGCACTCAGAAACATTACGGGGATGTGCAATGGTGATTATCCATGAGAGATGCATAGTTTAGACTCTAGGAAACTTTTCCCAGTACTGTACAGTACCCAGAAAAATTCTGGGGATGCAGGATTTTTTCCGGGTTTGAGAGATTCGTCTCATTACCCGTAAATATCTTATCCCCAGAAGAACTGTACACCAAATGCTCTGGCTAACAGGGATATTACTCACTGAAAGTATGGAAGTATTGACACCAATTTAAGATCAGATACAAAGAAGAGGTTGGATTAAGGAAAATCTGTTAGTTTGTAGTTTGGGATTATGTAAAGACTGGGTTTCTAGCTTCTTCAGCCACCACTGCTCCAGTACAAGATTTGGATTTCTCGAAGCAGTTAGATGCATACTAGAAATATAATGAAGAAATCTCAAGAGTTGCACTGAAGAAATTCTTGGGACATCTCTGGTATGTAGGCGAGGAGCTAATTGCTCTGGCACTCTTTGATCAAACTTTGTCCATGGACCTGAAAGTGAAAGATGGTCAGGTCCCCGATCTCAGAAGAAGATCCCAATAAGAGAGTAAATGTGAATCCTGCTGTAATCCAAAGCAAAAATATTAAAGATTTTGAGTCTTCTAACACCAACCACTTTTTTCAAAATCACTGGAATATCAACTGAATTTCTCACTAAAGATTCAAATGCTGTACTGTACTGTACTGTAATTGGAAGGGGACTCAAAATATCCCCGTGAAGCAATTTAAAGTCATCAGTGACAATGCAGAATGAGGAGTAGCACTGATAAATTAATACAAACAACTACATACCTACAATAAAGACCAAAAGCAATACAGTACAGTACCTATTGTAAGTACTGTAGTGTCAGATCATCTACGGCAATACTGTAACCTGATTGTAAGAAGAGCAAGCTTTATGATTGAAAATTGAGGGATATTACCAACTAATTTTTGGACAATCTTGTCTTTCAATAAAAATGAGGCAAAACTCTGTTTTTTAAGGGAAATTATCTAAATCGTAATATATTTCTAAACTTATGAGCATGAAAATGAAAATATTGTACAGTACAGTGGTCCCTCGGTTAACGAGTTACCTTCCATAAGATTCTTAACTTCGGTTAACGAGCAATCCCTCGATTAACGAGTTTCTTACGAGCCAACCTCAACATGTTTTCACTTACATTTGGTGGTCCACCAGCTGTAGTATTAGACCGCCAATAAAGTAATCGGTTCAAGGGCTTAAATTCCTTACTATTTTAGTAAATATCAAGAAGTTTATATTATTCAATAGTTTTAAAAGTTTAATATTAAATTTTTTAGTCATTTTAACAGTTATTGAACATAATTGAAGGTAAGGAAACTAGTTTTATGCGTGCCATCCAGCCTGTCAACACACCAAACAGGCATTAGTCTCTCTGTCTTTTCAGTGGAGGTAACATCTTGCTTGAGACTCTCTTCAACTAAATGCTTTTTCTGTGTTTCCAAGCAAATTATTGGTAATTTTGAAATTTATTTTACATATTGACAATATATAATACAGTGCAGTGTTGATTTAAAGAAAATAATCTTGAATTACATCAAGAGAACTAAAGTTTTATGGGTGAAATGGCACCATGTGGTGACTTCTCTTCCATCTCAATGCCTTCTCTTCTCCCTTCTCCTCCACCCCTATTCTCATTCCCATCATAATCATCGTCATCATCCAGGAGCCTTCTACATACACACCTCAAAGTAAGTGTACTTTTCTACCTTTTTTGTTGAATTTAGGCAATTTTCGGTGAGCGGGAACCAATTACCCAAAAACCCATTGAAACAATGGTTTCGGTTAACGAGTTTTCGGTTAACGAGCAACCTTCTGGAGCGGATTGTGCTCGTTAACCGAGGGACCACTGTATGTCCAAAATTTAAACTATGGTAGCAATCTCTACATATCATCCAATCTTGTCCAAAATTTGCATGTGTTATTATGTTCACAATATCTGTCGATGACCCAATTAAATTAAAAAATATACAGTATAGGTATACAGTACCTGTATATATTTTATGGACCACACTAGACTACAAGGTCATGCTAAAAATTTCCAAGTGTTTTTAGTTTCTATCTTTTTATTAAGTTAACATCGATGTAAAGTATAATATTTTCATAAACATACTGTACTTGTACTGTAGTCTGT